GCTCACTTTTCTCACTGCATCGCCTCATCCAATAGGCTCGCCTCTCTTTCACAGCTTCGCCTCGTAAAGTAGTCTCGTCTCTCCATGGCATCGCCTCTTCCAAGGCTCGCTTCTCCATGGCATTGCCTTCTTCCAAGGCTCGCCTTTCCAAGATATCGCCTCTTTCAAGGCTCACTTCTCTATGGCATTGCCTTCTTCCAAGACTCGCCTCTCCATAGCATCGCCTCTTCCAAGGCTCGCCTCACCTTGGCATCACCTCATCCAACATGCTTGCCTCTCTCACGGCATCGCGTCTGCATTCAGAGCATCTTCTCTACATTAGCTTATTATAGCGGCTTATATATTCAGTATATTTCAAAGTCTGACCCGCATATAAATAGTACGGCTCAGACTTGGGTGGACTATATTGTAATTCTAGCATCTTAGCATCACTGTATATTATTGCTAGCGTACACATCATATCACTACTTCCAAGCACGAATGTCATATCACTGCTAGTATGTCATACATTATTTTCATTACAGCCAATACGTATGCCATGTTATCATCATTTTCATTTTATTGTCGGCATCATGTTACTTGCTTCACTATAGCACTACTGATACACTGAGCTGTACGCATATGATTTACTGTAATACATGACAGTCCCTCTGCACATATCATGGAGAAATGCGATGTCATTATTTACTATATAGTTATGAACATTTGAAGAGGCAACTGGACCCCAAATTTATTTGGTATATAAGCTGTGGATATATTGTATTGTATTACAGGTTGGTTTAGTCCATATTATAGGAGAGATGCTGTTGAAATTTCGACAAAATATTTACAGTATCTATCTTTCGAGGCAATCCATAAGTCCTCACTTATTTTGACACAAATTTTCGAAGCAGTTCGTAAGTTCTTGTTTGTTGGAGCTACTTATATTTTTTTAAGCAATCTGTAAGACTTCGTCCGCATGACAGCTTATATTTCGAAGTCCAACCCACATATAAATAATACGACTCAAACTTGGAGGACTATTGTTATACCCAAAAATTACGTAGCATACGCGTGACGGAGGGGGGTCCCACAATGGTCTACTGGGCATCACCTATTTTAAAGTTCATATTTCATGTCCGACCCGCATATAAATAATACGACTCAGACTTAGGGGATGTTGTTATACATATTTCATAATGGGCCTAATTGGACTTAGCCCATTTCTTTGACTCGTTTGGCCCACCTCCATTTTTATATATATGGGTTTACTTCACAACATAAGGTACGTTCTAAAACCCAAACCAAACGCCCACTCCTGTCTCGAAATTCTTTATTTTCTTTTCGTCCGGCCGTTAACTTGACCGTTGGAGTGCAAATGGTCGCCGGACATTTTTTTTCGACCGGCGACCTTTGCATCCTAACGGGGTATTTCGTGCGCAGGTTTGGAGGGGATGAGGTCGGGATTCTGTTGGCGCATTTTTTGAGGTCAACAGAACCTATTTTTATATACCACCAACTATATCTCTATGACGGATGCATATACATAATAATGCATGTAATTTTATGAGCAATTAACGATTCACGCAAAGCATAGAGGTATATTTATATCCCCTATCGAACCCTACGATGATTTATACATTATCAAATCTATTTCCCTTCTCTCGAATGTAAGAAATAAATCACTACGTATCACATAATTACGAGCACTTAATTATGGAATAAATTAATGCATATAAACCATTCAAATAATCAAATACGCGTTTAATTGTCACATTGCAAAAAGTAAAATCCAAAGATTGCATTACATAGTTCATCGATCTCCTAGTACAAGAAAATCTAGCCTAACTTGAAGAATATAAAAGAATACATGAATTCTTGAAGATAAAACATCACCGGATTATAGATACATGTAAAATCTTGATAATCTTCGTGAAATCCTTCGTTAATCTCTCTCAAATTCTTCTCCAAGATGTGTTTTATTCTTTTCTAATGCGTTCTCACCCTAATTCTGACGAGACTAGGCTTTTATATTGCGTTAAGATCGAGTTACAAAAAAGTATTAGTGTAAACAAGAAACTGTTGAAATGTGTCACATTTTTACACCATGTGATAACCATGCAGCCGCATGGTTGAACCAAAAATATTGCTGGAATTCCCTATTGGGGTTCGTGAAGTCGCATGACCGCATGGTTAACGAAATTTTCATGTTGTGCCGTTTTAGGTCCCAAACTCAATCTTCTTGTTTATTGGCCTCCTTTCTTCATTCATCGTGTTCCATCATCTCACAATGATTTCCAATTGATACTTAGTTCATCCAATTACTCGATTAGCCTTTTAGTTCAACTTTTGGATATTTACACTTTGGTCCTTGAACTTTCACTTTGTTTCGTTTTGATCTTTTTCCATCCATTTTCTCGTGAATTCCACCATGCCCATCAATATAACATACGATACAAGAATTAAATGAATTTAAGCCACAATTTCAACACTTTACCCATAATTAAGTCATGAGTGCGTAATCAGAAAATATTTTCTTTCGATTTAATTCAACGCAAATATATATTTCGTTCACAAGTAATAAAGTAGTTTCGAATATTGTCCCACAGAGATCAAATAGTTTGACTTTATCTACCATAGCCTTAACTGAAACGAATTTATCAAATTTGAAGTTTTAACCTGAGAAGACCCTAATTTAGCAAGCCCTAATTTGACTAGAATGATTGTTGAATGAATTGAAAATGCAAAACGATGTATTTAAATGAATTTAAATGCAATGTGACGATTGTAATGCAAGTTGACTTTATTCAAGAAAAATTAAATGCACTAGGATCACGAATTCCTATGTAATGGTCGTTTAAAAACCCTAATTTCACAATCTGACAACACGGTTGGATTATTGAAGAATCAATGCTCCTAAATCTATCCAACACACTCTCTCGAGCAATATCGAACATATTCTTATTTACCACTAGCCTATATCTCTATGATGGATGCATATACATAAGAATGCATGTAGTTTTATGAGCAATTAACGATTCAAGCAAAGCATAGAGGTATATTTCTATCCCTTATTGGACCCTACGATGATTTATACCTTGTCAAATCTATTTTTCTTCCTTCGAATGCAAGAAATAAATCACTACGCATCACATAATTACGTGCACTTAATTATGAAATTAATTAATGCATATAAACCATTCAAATAATCAAATATGCGTTTAATTGTCACATTGCAAAAAGTAAAATCCGAAGATCACATTACATAGTTCACCGACCTCCTAGTTCAAGAAAATCTAGCCTAACACAGAGAACATAAAAGAATACATGAATTCTTGAAGATAAAACATCACCGGATTACAGATACACGTGAAATCTTGATAATTTTCTTGAAATCCTTTGTTAATATCCCTCAAACTCATCTCCAAGATGTGCTTTGTTCTCTTCTAATGCGTTCTGATCCTAATTCTGACAAGTCTAGGCTTTTATATCGCGTCAAGATCGAGTTCCGAAAGAGTTTTAGCGTAAATAGAAAACTGCTGAAACGGGTGACATTTTTACACCATACGACCGCATGGTTAAACCAAAAATGGGGCTAGAATTCCTTGTTGGGGTAAGTGCAGTAGCATGGTAATAACACCATGTGACCGCATGGTTAACGAAATTTCCATGTTGTGTCGTTTTAGTCTCCAAACTCAGTCTTCTTGTTTATTGGCCTCCTTTCTTCATCCATCTTGTTCCATCATCTCGCAATGATTTCCAATTGATACATCGCTCATTCAATTACTCGATTAGCCTTTTAGTTCAACTTTTGAGTGTTTTCACTTTGGTCCCTGAACTTTCACTTTCCTTCGTTTTGGTCTTTTTTGCACCCTTTTCTCGTGAATTCCACCATATCCATCAATATAACATATGATACAAGAATTAAATGAATTTAAGCCACAATTCCAACACTTTACCCATAATTAAGTCATGTTTGTGAGTTAAATAAGTGTGTAAAAACACACTTATCCCTAGTGCCCTTTAGCCAACTGGTTTGGGAGTTACCGGTTCAAAACTCGCTAAAGGGGTTATATAGAAAGCAAAAGGGGAAGAAGTTAATAAAAGTCATCTGATCGAGCCTTTATAACTTGTGTGAATAAGCATGTAAGAGTTTAAAACATGGTGCCCTAAGGCCAGTGGTTTGGGAGTCATGGGCCTAAAACTTGCTACAAGGGTTATATAGAAAGCAAATGAGAAGATGGCCTAAAAAATAAAACAATAATAATAAATAAATAAAAGACACTATAGTATGAAAGAAGCCTTTAGACATTTGGTTCATAAAACTACACATTTGAGGTGAGACAAGTAGCTTAGTTTAATCTTAAAGGTTGAAGCAATCAAAACTAGGAGAGCCTTTACTTGTTGACATGTGAACCTGTGATAGTGAGATCTATCCAAGCTAATAGAGGGTAAGGACTGTAAATGCTTAAATACTTAACTTTGAAACACACCCCGGGATAATTGAGAGAAAAGACTAGGTTTGGGGGGTATGTATCTCTCGAGCGAGGTAAGGATATATTAGACAACTTTGGGTCAAGATTAATCCATCATGAGCTTAATATGTTGGCATGAGAACACACACACGTTGAGTATGCGTTTAACAGATAAGGGTTGATTTTATTATTGCACTATTGAAACTATTTCCTGTGTTGATTTCTGAATTTCAATCCTGAGACACGACAGGCTGTCAAGTCATGTTTTGTGTAAAGTTAAGTCACTATCTTGTTTGAGGACAAACAATAGTTCAAGTTTGGGGAGTTTGATAAATGTGTTTTTATTCACTTATTCAAGCCACAAAACATGACTAATTCATGATAAATATAGTTGGAATGTGGCTTAATTCTATTAAATCTTATTTTGTAGGTTATATTGATGGATTTTATGGAAATCAAGAGAAAAGACTTGAAAAATTATCAAAATGAAGGAAAACAAAAGTTTAGAAACCAAAGTGCAAATACTCAAAAAACTTTCATTCCATGGTCCTTCTTAAAGTGATCAATCAACATATGCTTGACACCATGTCGCTCTGAGCTGATCTCAGCCAACAACCCCTGTGCAAGAGTGGTTTGAGGAACTGTCCCGGTACCTGATCCCTGCGCTGACTGAGTACCATCTGTGTGTGTCTTTAATGGTGGAGAACTCATATGTGTCGGCTCAGGGGGTACATCAGCAGTAGCTGTGGGAATAGGAGCTATGGAAGTAATAATAGGAGAAGTGGGTACCTCGATAGGAGCATTTGGAGTAGGCTCAGCAACTGAATGAATATACGGAGGTACCTCTGGATCAACTGTGATACGAGTAGAGGTAGGAACTGCCGATGCAGATTCTGACTCAGTCACAACTACGGTAGTAGTAGTGGGAAGCACAGAAGGCACTGCTGAAACTGGAACCCACTGCTTCTTTGGCTCCACAAACGTCACCTTGCCCTTATCCTTATCAGTCCTAGTAATAGGGGGCCGAACAGGGGGGTGCGCAACAACTGCAGGAGGAGGAGGAACCGTAGTACACTGATCATAAGAATGACCCAAGTGTTTACAAGAGAAGCAAAAAATTGGCCGCTTCTCATAGATAACTGTCTGCCAGAAGCCACGGTTACTAGCGCGCTCAATCCAAACCCTGTCGGGCAACTTATGCCCCAAATTCACCTCAATGCACACCCTTTGCCAGATGTTTATCCCTGGCTTCGCGAGATGCTTATTCCTCGCTTCTCACTATCATCGAGTCTAGTTGTAAGACATCATCTATCCAAGGCCGCTTATAAGACTTCGATAGTTTGAAATTAGCAGGATGTTTATTCTCCACTTTGCCAGATGTTCATCCCTGGCTTCGCGAGATGTTTATTCCTCACTTCTCACTATCGTTGAGCTTAGCTGTAAGACCTCATCTATCTGAAATGTGTAAACACGAAACTGTTGAAATGTGTCACATTTTTACACCATGTGATAACCATGCGGCCGCATGGTTGAACCAAAAATATTGCTGGAATTCCCTATTGGGGTTCGTGAAGTCGCATGACCGCATGGTTAACGAAATTTTCATGTTGTGCCGTTTTAGTTCCCAAACTCAATCTTCTTGTTTATTGGCCTCCTTTCTTCATTCATCTTGTTCCATCATCTCACAATGATTTCCAATTGATACTTAGTTCATCCAATTACTTGATTAGCCTTTTACTTCAACTTTTGGATATTTGCACTTTGGTCCCTAAACTTTCACTTTGTTTCGTTTTGATCTTTTTCCATCCATTTTCTCATGAATTCCACCATGCCCATCAATATAACATACGATACAAGAATTAAATGAATTTAAGCCACAATTTCAACACTTTACCCATAATTAAGTCATGTTTGTGAGTTAAATAAGTGCGAAATCAGAAAATATTTTCTTTCGATTTAATTCAACGCAAATGTATATTTCGTTCACAAGTAATAAAGTAGAATATTAAGTTTCGAATATCGTCCCACAGAGATCAAATAGTTTGACTTTATCTACCATAGCCTTAACTGAAACGAATTTATCAAATTTGAAGTTTTAACCTAAGAAGACCCTAATTTAGCAAGCCCTAATTTGACTAGAATGATTGTTGAATGAATTGAAAATGCAAAACAATGTATTTAAATGAATTTAAATGCAATGTGACGATTGTAAAGCAAGTTGACTTTATTCAAGAAAAATTAAATGCACTAGATCACGAATTCCTATGTAATGGTCGTTTAAAAACTCTAATTTCACAATCTGACAACACGGTTGGATTATTGAAGAATCAATGCTCCTAAATCTATCCAACACACTCTCTCGAGCAATATCGAACATATTCTTATATACCACCAGCCTATATCTCTATGATGGATGTATATACATAAGAATGCATGTAGTTTTATGAGCAATTAACGATTCAAGCAAAGCATAGAGGTATATTTCTATCCCTTATCGGACCCTACGATGATTTATACCTTGTCAAATCTATTTTTCTTCCTTCGAATGCAAGAAATAAATCACTACGCATCACATAATTACGTTCTCTTAATTATGAAATTAATTAATGCATATAAACCATTCAAATAATCAAATATGCGTTTAATTGTCACATTGCAAAAAGTAAAATCCGAAGATCACATTACATAGTTCACCGACCTCCTAGTTCAAGAAAATCTAGCCTAACACAGAGAACATAAAAGAATACATGAATTCTTGAAGATAAAACATCACCAGATTACAGATACACGTGAAATCTTGATAATTTTCTTGAAATCCTTTGTTAATATCCCTCAAATTCATCTCCAAGATGTGCTATGTTCTCTTCTAATGCGTTCTGATCCTAATTCTGACAAGTCTAGGCTTTTATATCGTGTCAAGATCGAGTTCCGAAAGAGTTTTAGCGTAAATAGAAAACTGCTGAAACGGGTCACATTTTTACACCATACGACCGCATGGTTAAACCAAAAATGGGGCTAGAATTCCTTGTTGGGGTAATTGCAGTAGCATGGTAATAACACCATGTGACCGCATGGTTAACGAAATTTCCATGTTGTGTCGTTTTAGTCTCCAAACTCAGTCTTCTTGTTTATTGGCCTCCTTTCTTCATCCATCTTGTTCCATCATCTCGCAATGATTTCCAATTGATACATCGCTCATTCAATTACTCGATTAGCCTTTTAGTTCAACTTTTGAGTGTTTTCACTTTGGTCCCTGAACTTTCACTTTCCTTCGTTTTGGTCTTTTTTGCACCCTTTTCTCGTGAATTCCACCATATCCATCAATATAACATATGATACAAGAATTAAATGAATTTAAGCCACAATTCCAACACTTTACCCATAATTAAGTCATGTTTGTGAGTTAAATAAGTGTGTAAAAACACACTTATCCCTAGTGCCCTTTAGCCAACTGGTTTGGGAGTTACCGGTTCAAAACTCGCTAAAGGGGTTATATAGAAAGCAAAAGGGGAAGAAGTTAATAAAAGTCATCTGATCGAGCCTTTATAACTTGTGTGAATAAGCATGTAAGAGTTTAAAACATGGTGCCCTAAGGCCAGTGGTTTGGGAGTCATGGGCCTAAAACTTGCTACAAGGGTTATATAGAAAGCAAATGAGAAGATGGCCTAAAAAATAAAACAATAATAATAAATAAATAAAAGACACTATAGTATGAAAGAAGCCTTTAGACATTTGGTTCATAAAACTACACATTTGAGGTGAGACAAGTAGCTTAGTTTAATCTTAAAGGTTGAAGCAATCAAAACTAGGAGAGCCTTTACTTGTTGACATGTGAACCTGTGATAGTGAGATCTATCCAAGCTAATAGAGGGTAAGGACTGTAAATGCTTAAATACTTAACTTTGAAACACACCCCGGGATAATTGAGAGAAAAGACTAGGTTTGGGGGGTATGTATCTCTCGAGCGAGGTAAGGATATATTAGACAACTTTGGGTCAAGATTAATCCATCATGAGCTTAATATGTTGGCATGAGAACACACACACGTTGAGTATGCGTTTAACAGATAAGGGTTGATTTTATTATTGCACTATTGAAACTATTTCCTGTGTTGATTTCTGAATTCCAATCCTGAGACACGACAGGCTGTCAAGTCATGTTTTGTGTAAAGTTAAGTCACTATCTTGTTTGAGGACAAACAATAGTTCAAATTTGGGGAGTTTGATAAATGTGTTTTTATTCACTTATTCAAGCCACAAAACATGACTAATTCATGATAAATATAGTTGGAATGTGGCTTAATTCTATTAAATCTTATTTTGTAGGTTATATTGATGGATTTTATGGAAATCAAGAGAAAAGACTTGAAAAATTATCAAAATGAAGGAAAACAAAAGTTTAGAAACCAAAGTGCAAATACTCAAAAGATGACCCGGAGGAGGAATCGAGGAATTGGTTGAGCTGAGTACCAATTGGAGGCTATTATTGGTCGATGGAATGAGAAGAATCAAGAAACGAGGTCAAAATAGAAGAGAACAAATTTTGGGGACAAAAAGGGCCAAAAGTGAAAGATCACTCTACTATGCGGTTGCATAGTAGAGAAATCCATGCGACCGCATCCACTATGGCAGAGACTTCTAAGGTTGAATTTGATTTCACTATGCGGTCGCATAGTTGATTTTCTGGGGGCGAATCTGCAATTTTCTATTTTCGTTAAAATTCTTGTGAAACCAATACGGGACGTGACATATAAACTCTGAAGCCATGAAAATAAAGGGAGTACGCATTGGGAAGTGAGAAAACACATCTTAGAGAAAATTTGGAGCCACAATAATGAAGGATTTCATGAAGATCAACTGTATTTCATTCGATTATTGATCCGCTGATGTTATTTCTTCCAAATATCATGTATTTTGTTACTTTCTCCATGTTAGACTAGAAATCTATGTACTATGAGATTGATGAACTTTGTAATGTAATAATAGCACAATTTGTCATGTTTTATACATTTATACTTGTATTTGCATGATATATTGACGTCTATACGCACTAAGTACCCTTATATTTTGATTTAAGTTGCAAATGGATGAATACGGTGAAATTTAGAAGAAAAGAACGAAAAAGACTAAGCCCCTGTTTGATCTCCATTACATTAAATTCTATTACATTTCATTTTTTTCTCTCCTATTTTCAGCCACACAATCTTCCATAAAATAATATTATACGTAAATCGAAAACTTTTCATTCTTTTTCAACCATTCATTTTTCAAAAAAGCACTATTCCCCTCATTAATTTTCCTACGTAATGGGAATCAAACACGGGCTAAAGTGAAAGAAAGTAAAAGCTCAGGGACTGAGTTACAAATAATCTAAAGATGAGACGGGTGATGGAATGATGATTCGAGAAAGCTAGGAGTCCATTGGGTGCAATTAGAAGCCAAAAGCATTAGAATTTCCAGATTTTAAGCTGGAGATTGAGATCCACTTTGGACCTACTAAACGTTTGAATTTGGAAAGAGTTATTTCTAGTAAAATTGTATTCATTTGTGTTAGATTTCCAACACACTTTGAATTGTCTTAATCCGACATTAGGCAGAAAGTTATGACCAAAATATTGAAAACAATCGCACGGAACAAGTTTTTGCCGAATCTTCAAGTTTCCTTATTCCATTCAACCTTTTTTGAAAACAATTTGGCACTCGATTTTAAACCCTAATTTGACCAGAACACGCCCCCATCTCCTATCTCCTTTCTCTCATCTTGGGCACAGAACTCTATGGCAAACTAAATTAATCGGTGAAGCCACGAATGAACACGGTGAGATTTGGGAATTTCTATGTCTTTTATTGCATGTAAGGTGTTTTTCATTATTGAACAATTTTAAATCTGGATTTCTTATGTTATTGGATATATTTTGGAATTGGGTTAATTCACATTAGATTTTTATGAGTTCAATCATATTTTCTTCATTGAACAATCGAAATGTTGATTGATTTTCAATTTCAAACAATTTATTGGTTTGATTCTTTACCATTATATGCTTGATATATATAATTGCTTTGGGATCTAATTTCAACAAATCATTGTGGAATTATATTGTGAAAGAAACCTAGATTTGGAATTACTAAATAAATTAAATAAGGGCTTGAATGTTTTATTTTCCAATTAAAGTGTTGGGATGAAAACTTTTAATTGAGTATTCTCAATCAAAATTGATATTGATTGAACCTATCTAATCGAAAAAATTTCGGCGCTTCACTATTTCATACAT